GGAAGGCCCTAATCCGACTGGGCGCCGACCTCCCGTACTCCCACCACGTCCTTTCCCGTACAATGAGAACAGGACACGTGTATGCGAGTGGGACGTACGAGAAGCCGTCGCCAAGATCGGCGGCCGATATTTTCCCTCCTGAAACTCGATGCTCAATATTTGTCGGAGCAGCCTTTGTCATTATTGATACGCATTTTTCGCCTTATTCGCTGCTACTACCATTTAACGAGTTGATTGTCATTCCATGGATGGCAGTGGCGCCCTATTGGCCTAACACTCTGTGCAGCGACAGCTGTCGCTTCGAGCGTTACCCAATCAAAAGGCTTCCACTACCACGTACGGAGTGGGGACGAACACAAAGAACTCCACATCAGATTCTGAGTTGTGCAATTCCGACCCGCGACTCAGGTTTAGTAAGCCAACGCGGCGTTGATACAGGGCGCCTTGTTTCCCGAGGCCGCCCGGTGGCTCGGTTGCTGATGTTGTGCAACATAAGGCAGATGGCATGCGCAGGGCTTTCAAAACTACATATCTAAACACTCTTGCATTCTCGAACAAAATCCTGTTGGGGGCTGCGTCTAATCAACACGAAAAGACGTGCATCTTCATACATACATTCACTGTGTAAGATGGGAAAATGACAGGGGTATACGAGTCAGAAATCAATCGAGGGAATTGTACACACGCATCCACCGTTCACAAGACAAGAGGATCAATTCCTCGACATATGGGGATTACCCAGGAAACTAATGGAAGAGTTCCTCTCTCTCTCTCTCTCTCTCTCTCTCTCTCTCTCTCTCCTATTAAAAAGAAGTGATTGGTGGTGGCGTGAGTGTTTTCTTTTCTTGATGACGTCTCGGGATTTTTGCAATTGATTGACATGTGGACTGACAAACACCCTTCGATCGGGCGTCAGCCTCCCGTATCTCCCGTATCAACACGACCTTTTCCTTACAACGAGGAAGGGACACGTGTATGCGAGTGGGATGTACGAGAAGCCGTCGCACGAATCGGCGGGCAATATTACTTTCCTCCGGAAAACCGTTGTTCAGGGTTCGTAGAGGCTGGGTTTGTCATTATCGATACACACTTTCCACCCTACTCGATATTGTTGTCATTCAACGAGTTGATAGTCATCCCGTGGACGGCTGTAGAACCCCACTGGCCGCGCACTCTATGCACCGAATACCAACGCTTTGAGTGCTACGAAACCAGGGGTTTCCACTACCGTGTGCGGAGCGAAGACGAACATAGAGAAAGAGCCACGTGATTAAGACCATCCACGTCAGATTCCGAACTGGTCAGTGAACGACGATGGGACTTAATACGGAAACGAGACACGCGAAGCTTGCCGAAGCCTTTCTGTTCTAAACGACGGGCCGTAGCCAGGTGGGAAGTTCGACAATATTTTGTGGATTGAATTTGTATTTCTCTCTCTTCTCGCGCCAAACTTCCGCGTGCATTTTGCGTCGCTCGAAAAACGATCGACTTACTTCATCGGACCAAGACGGGGGATCTCAGTTCCGTCTGTGTCCCCACACTCAATTTCCAAAAATCCTTGGCACACCCCATCTTGTTGTTTCTCTAGGCCTCTTTCCGCACATCTAGCACTCCGAACGAAAGACAGCACATGGCGTGAGGTTGGTATCGGAGCCGACACGTGTCGGTTCTGATGATAGTGAGTCGAAATGGCGAGAGGTAGGAGAAACCCTCAACTAGCTCGTCGAGATCGCCCAGTGACCAGGTCTCGATCTGGTGCGATTGCACCCGCAATGCCAATGGCAGGCAGTACTAGAGTGATCGTTAACATTCCTGCCCCTTTCCCCTTCTTCCCTAACCATACCCATCCCGAGGCTTGGTTGGAAGCCATCGAAGCTCAAGGCTACAGCGCGGGTGATCTTCCCCGCGTGCTTACCTTGCTACTCCGCAATACATTGCATGACTGGTTTAGAAAGCATACGTGGGTAGATTGGAATACTTTCAAACAAACCTTCTTGGCTCGATTCGATATGGTCAGTGAAGACGCCGCCTGGTACGTGCTCAAAACTCGGCCACAAGGACCAGGGGAATTGCTGCCCGATTTCGTGGATCGATTTCAAACCACGTTGGATAAATCTGAGCAAGACGAGAAATCCGCTCGAGATTTGTTCATCGATCACCTATGAAGTCCGACGTTGAAAGGGAAGTTACAGAAAAAGGTCCCGCTAAAGACACACCAGCTATCTGTTATCATCGCTAAAGCGTTGGAATTAGACCTGGCTGATATAAAAAAATATATCAGTCAGGGAGAAGAAGATATTACGGACACCATACAGGATGTAGCGGCTAAAAGGCGATCATGGTTACGGGTGGTAGAACGGTTTTATCCCCGCCCCGACCATGACCTTCCCGACGGGATCGCTTCGATATCCCGCCTGTTTTTTCTTCCTCTCCCCCGGTGAATCAACCGATAGCGGCAATTAAGAGCAGAATCTCCCACGAACTCCCCTCGCCGGGCGTAACCAACTTACATCTTGCCCAAATGATCCATACGGCCACTACCAAGCAGTCCAAATGGATGAGCAACTTTATCCAAATGCAGGCCGCTCACATGGAGTGGATGGAACAGATAATGAGCACGCTAATTAAGCCTAACCCGTCCCCTGCTCGGCCTGCCGCCACGTCATTTCCACTCTTGCCTGCCCCGCCTGCACTAGAATACGCACCTCAGTTCCCTCACCCAGCTAATCCAGCAGGAAAGATTGAGTGTTTTAACTGCAAACAGCCCAGACATTTCGCCCGAGACTGTCCGCAGCCAAAACGTAATCAGCCCCCACCTGCTGTGGCCCCTGTGGCCCTGAATCAAGGATGACTCGGAGTGGCTGCATTGATGGATACGGCCCAAGGAGGGGAGCTCGTGGCATATGCCCTGAACAGCCTTCCCCCTCGATGGCAACGGCGTCGACATCGGGAGCTTCTTTCTCTGATGCCACTGACGTGGTCGATCCACTTGAGTATCTTCATCTCGCATGCATGATCGGAGCGATCCGATCGGCCCCTGATGATCTCGAATGGGTCGATCGCGAATCCAATCCTAGTCCGCAGTTACAGACGCGAGAAATTGATGTATTGAGAGCGCTCAAGCAACTGGATATTCGCGTTCCTATCCCAGTAGGGCATTTGCTCACCATATCCGAAGCTGCGAATGATAAACTCTTGCAACATTTCCAGAAAAATCAAAAGCGCTTCACATATCAGCGCATACAGCGAATGTTAAAAAAAAAGGAAGGATGCGAGGAAGTTGCACCGCCCGAACCCGAAGCCGGCGAACCCGAAGCCGCACGTATAGCAGCGATCTCTTTAGCAGAGAAGGATCACTTCGTACAAGCTCGGTCGGTACTGTGGAAGAGCGAGAAATGTTATTGTGAAGTTTGGGGCAAGCCGTTTAACGCCCTTATCAACACAGGGTCTTCTGCAGTGGCCATATCGATAGACACTGTCAGAAAGACGGGACGACTCAAATCCATTCTTTCTGAATCTGGCAAAGACAATTATGTCTCTGCCGACGAGGAAGCAATGAACATCGTGGGCATTATTGAGAATGTGGCTGTAAAGGTTGGACGAGTACACGTCCTTGTTAACGCACTAGTAATAGATGTGCGTTCCTATTCTGTGTTGTTAGAACTACCTTGGGCGATGACAGTAGGGGCCCGTATGCATTTCGATTCAAAACAACTGGTGCTCACGCAAACTGGGGGAAAGCCTCAAACTGTTCCCTTGTGAATTTCCACCCGAACGATAAAATGAACTCCTAACTCAGCCCAAATAGGGATGATTCGATGCATTGATCCCGAGGAGTATTCTTCCTCGGACATCGGTAGCAGAATCGAAAAACAGGAACACGAAGAAGAACTACCTAGTGAGGATAAATGAAAGCACCTGGTCGAACTTTTCGAACTCGAAATTCCCGAAGAATTTTGAGTGCGCCCCAGCACTGCCCGAAGCTTCCACGTGGATTCAGGAGACAGCGCGCTTGCGCCTCCGAAAACCCAGGTCAGTCCTTCAGTCCTCCTTGGGGAACCCCTATTACAAGTATCTGACCTGACCGATGATTTGGAACCCCCTCCTACCTTGTACGAGGGAGCACTTTCCTTACGAACACGTTATCAACAAGCGGAACAGTATCTAGACGTTTCTGTTTTTTCCGCCCAGATCGTTACTAATGACGGGGGCGACCATCGCTTTGATTAAACAGGAAGCAGAAGCGCCGGTAGATGACGTGCCTGATCTAATGCAGGAGATGACGGACTTAACAGGACTGACTGTGGAACAGACTTCAGCCGGCTCAGAAACTGACGCCGAAACTAAAGAAACCGAAATGATTAGCCCCGCCGAATCACAGATGATTGCGACTGTCTTCTCTGTTCGCACCAGTAGTTCCGTCTTTTCGAGTGTCTACGATCAACAGGAGCGGCCAGTTGATTGGATCGATATACCCCTTCAGATTTCTGGGGAATCGACAATCGCCCTGCCGAACCACGTCCCCATGGAATTCCAGAAATCATTAATCTGTGTTTTGAATGGCTACGCGGAGGTATTAAGTGTATATGATAATGATATTGGCCTGACTAACGTGATCGAGCATGCCATTCTCACGGAAGATCATCCGCCCATTAGTTGCGCTCCTTACCGATACTCGCCAACTCAAAGAGCGGCCGCTTTTCAGCGGATCAAAGAATTCGAAGCTAATGGATGGATCGAACCCGCAATAGGTCCATGGTCTTTTCCCGTAGTAATTGTGCCCAAAAAGGCCGGAGGGATTCACATTTGCATTGATTAACCGAAGTTGAATGATATCACGGTCAAAGATGTGTACCCCCTCCCCCGGATTGATGAGTTGTTGGATGCGATTGACAGTGCTCGATTTTCCAGTAAGTTTGATGTTCGTCATGGGTTCCATCACCTTCTTGTCCGAGAAGGAGATCGTCCGAAAATGGCGTTTGTGCTTTTCGAAGGTACGTGGCAGTGGATTCGATGTCCGATGGGTATCTGCAACGCCCCCGCGACCTTTCAGCGAGCCATGAATATGGCTTTTCAGAATTTCGTGCGGAAGACACGTTTGGCACAGAGCATCATCAACTACTGCGTGATTGTGTACGTGGATGACATTCTGGTGTACTCGAGTTCCTACGAGGGACACGTATCGCACATCGAATGGGCGCTGCATGTGTTACGAGATGCGGGCTTCAAGGTGGCGTTTGAGAAGTGCCAGTTTTTCCTTACCACCATTTCTTTCCTGGGACACGTGGTAACAGACAAGGGACTCCAACCGGAGCCGCAGAAGGTGGCAGCTGTCAGGGATGCGCCGGTGCCTACGACTATCACGCAAGTTCGCGCCTTTTTGGGCCTGGCCTCGTACTACCGAAGATTTATCAAGGGCTTCGCGACGATTGCGGGGCCCCTCATAAATCTGCTGCGCAAAGATCAGCCGTTGATCTGGACGCTGGAGTGTGATCAAGCGTTTTCGAAACTCAAGGCCGCTCTCATTTCGGGTCCGGTCCTTATAAGGTTGGATCCCGAAAAACCTTTTGTTCTCATTACTGACTGGCAGCCAGAGGCAATTTCAGCGATCCTTGTCCAGGTGGGACCAAGTGGACTCGAGAGCGTGGTGGAGTATGCGTCCAAATCGGTGCTTGCCTGCAAGCGCAACTACGCCGCTCCAACGGGAGAATGCTACGCGGCTCTTTGGGGAATCAGTCACTTTCGCGCTTACCTGTACGGACGGAAGTTCACCTTGGTAACCGATCATGAGCCCCTGTTGGCTCCAAATCCGACGATCGCAGCAAGCACCAAGAGACTCGAGTCGCGCTGAGAGCAGTGGATGAGGGGCAAGCCCGGGCCAGGAATGGGCAGGAGGTTAGAGCCACTTGGCCGCTCGAGCTCACCCGCCTGACGACGAAGAAGCTGGCGCCCCGCAGTCGGGTTGGTTCCGGGGTCCGACCGGACAAACCGTGAAGCTCACTTCTGCACCCGGGCTGTTCGAGTAGATCTGGCCTTCGGCCGTTGGGTACTGCACTTTTCGACAGAGGGGCAGGGCAGGCCGATAACGGTGGTCAATCCGTAATCTATCTCAGTTGCTATCGGAGGTAAAGACCAGAAAAGGCCACAATCATGTTTTAAGGTAAGGGCCTGTCACGGTGAAACGACGTCCCCTGTCTATGAGATAAGAGCTACTACCCACGAGCGCAAGGTCTGAGGTCGTGCTTTGAGGCAAGGCAGGCTGCAGTGAGACGCCGTCCGTTTTCTGTCTATCCGCAGGTGACAAGTCTGAGGTCGTGCTCAGAGGAAAAGCTATTTGCTGCGTGTATCTTTTCGTGAAACGTTGTCAGTTTTCTGTCTATCCGTGGGGGAAAAGTTCGAGATCGGGCCTTGAGTTAAAACAATTTGGCTAATTGCTGCGTTCATCCTCTCGTGAAACGTTGTCTGGTTTCTGTCTACCCCCGGGTGACAAGTCCAAGGTCGTGTTTCCTATCTATCCGTGGGTAAAGAGTCTGAGGTCGGGCTTTGAGTTAAAACAATTTGGCTATTTGCTTCGTTGTCAGTTTTCTGCATATCCGTGGGTGAAAAATCTGAGATCAGGCTTTGAGTTAGAACAATTTGTCGCTGGCATCTTCGTCTTCGTATCGTGAAAGGTTATCTATTTTCTGTTTAAGAGGTACGAGCTACTTGTAATGCGTGTCTTTGTCCGTTTCCTGTCCATTCGCGAGTAAAAAGTCAGAGGTCTTGCTTGAGAGGTAAGGCTATTCGCCGCGTGCATCTTCTCGTGAAACGTTGTCAGTTCCATGTCTATCAGTGGGTGAAAAGTTTGAGATCGGGCTCTAAGTTAAAGCAAGTAGATGTCAGCATCTTCGTGAAAATTTACCCGTTTTCTATCTATGAGGCGCGAGATGCCATCGGCGGGTGAGAAGGCAGAGATTGGGTTTGTAGGGAAAGCTAATTATTCGGCTCGTGAAAAATCGTCGGCTTTTCTATCTGTGGGCTTCGCGCTACTTTCTGTGAAATATGCTGGGAAAGCTTAGGATCTCGTTTTCGGGAGCAAGCTCGCCGCAGTGAACGGTTTCGCACCCTGCTCAAGGAACCGTGGTCCGTCGCGGGTCTTCATCCATCGGTAAGGCCGGAAAGGCCTGGGGTCTCGTTTTGGGGCAGATCACATTGCAGTAAGTGCCCTCGTGTCTCGCTCGTGAGAGCGTTGTCCCGTTCTATCGTCTGTCTATTAGCCAGAGGGCTACTGTGTACGGGTGAGTGCCTCTGGACAAGGTAGTTGCGCCGAGAGTCCCCGTTTGGACAGCACACACCCGACTCGGACTCAGGGGTTGACTTAGGAGGGGGAGCAACGAGCGAAAAAGGGAAACAAAAGGGGGCTGGATGACGGGTGTCGGGCCGCGAGGGGAAAGTCTAGGGTAGCTCTGGGGACGCAGGCACGTTGCGGGGAAGTTGCGGGCGAACAGGCTCGGAGAGCTTGACAAACGACGGGTCTACCCAGGACTTTCGTCGGAAAAATCGAGGCAGCCGAGGCGGCTCACGGGAAGCGGGGCGGAGAGGTGTGGCCAGGGAAACTCTAAAGTTGCCAAAACTCGGGCTCGGCAGACAGCGTCTTAGAAAGAAAGGGCGGAAGGGAGGAACCCCTCCTTCGGCCCGACAAAGTGGCGCCGTTGTCGGGGATGAGCATTTCTCCCGCGGCCGCGGCTGGCTTAGCAACTATAGGGTGAGAGAGGACCGGCGTGACAGGCAGCGGTCAAGTAAGTTTGCCGCGTTCTTCTGCATTTCGGCATCGAGTTCTTCGGCATGGGTCTTCAAAATAGTCTCAGCAGTTTCTTCTCAAGCGAAGTCGGCGAGGGGTTTATTGGGGAGGGGCTTGTTGTTGGGGTTTGTCGGGGGCAAGGGGTTTCGGGTGTTGGGGCTTGTCTCCTTGGTTCTTTTTGCAGGTCCGCTCCGGCCCGCTTGCGATCTCGGCTCCCACTTCCGGTCGTCGAAGGGTAAAAACAAGTCAGTTCCTTTTCGTGTGCTTGTTTTTTGCGCTTGTTTATTTCCAAAAACTCGAAAAACTAAGGGGGTGCACATTTTGCCTGAGGGGTCAGAATGAGGGTGACGAACAACGAAAGGGGAGGGAGAAGAACAGTCCGGGGAAATAGTATAAGGGGGTCTGCTCAAGGGGGGGGGAGGGAGAGAGAAAGAGAGGAAGCGGGGAGAGGGGTCCGAGAGGGGCCGGTAGCGCTGTCTATTTGGGATCCGAGGGGGTCACCAAGTGTTCTTGATCCACACGGGTTGTGGAGGGAACCTACCCAGGGGCGAAGTCCCGCAAGAGAAATTGTGTCTAGAGAGGGGTTAGGGGTTTCGATTCTCGATCCACGGGGGCTGACGACGGTTGCAACTCCCGCGAGGGAGCGGGACTCTCAATCGAGACCGGTTCGGGGCTTGGGGGAAAGGAGAGTGGTGCTACGGGTACCGAAGCGAAGGGGAGAGAGGGAGATACCTGACCTTCATAACGAGGACATTCAAGGAGAGGGGGATACTTGGGGGACCTTGGGCGAGGGATCGGAGGCCGGCTCCTGGGTGGAACGGTGTCTAGCCGACTTCTCGGACTCGGAACTGGGGGATTATTGGGACTACGATAACAAGTATTGAAGACCCAAGGTACGTATGCTTGTCAACCCTACCTTAGAGCCTCTTCCTAAAAGCTCCGCTCTCCCCACCCTTTTTTCTTACATTCCCCGATCTTCCAGTGATTCCAAGAGAGAAAAGAGGCAGCGGGAGGCGAAAAAGGAAGAAGGGAGCGAAGTGTGAAGAGTTCACGATGAGGAGAATGGGGAGGGAGTAGATAGGCTAGCGATTTCCGATACATAGGTGGATCTTGTCCTGGGACCCGGGTAATTCCACGCTTGAGGTGGGCCGAGTAGAGGTGTGGTACCAGATAGGCTAATTAGGACTAGAGGTCGGTTCAGTGGGGGACGTAGGGTGCGGGTGTCTGACTTCGGTCCGACTCTGGGGAGGGGGTTGCCACCCTTCCTCGGGGATAACCTGTGTCCGCGGCTAGTCTCTAGGCCGGGAGTGGGGAGGAGTCTCTCAGCGGGGGAGGACAGGAAGGTAGCCGAGTGAGACGGCGTTCCTTCTCTAGTCCATTTGATCCTTCTGAGCTCACAGGTTTCTCTTCCTCGCAGGATAGAGGTGGTCTCTCGAGTGGCCAATAGGAAGTGAGAATTTTGGGAAGTTTCCCTTGATTATACTGTATGAGCCTAGAAGCCACCCCCGAATGGATTAGTGTGTGTACCCGCGAAAGTGTTGATGTGTGGTGCTACTCCTTTAGACTATGGACTGGGGACTTTGATGTAGGTGTTTATGTAGAGGAAGGGCAAGATCAAGGAGAGGACTTCCTTCGAGGGTGGGAAGAGGCGATAGGCGACTCCCGCTGTTCGCGGGGGGAGTTAAGGAGTTACGGATTCAAGTATTTCTACTCTCTAGGATATCGTACCTACCCGAGAGGTGGTCGCCTGCCGCCGGTAATTCCGGACGCTTATCTTGATGGTTCGGATGGATGAAAAGTACTAATAGGGATAGTGAAGCATATGGTGAGAACGGCGGATCCATGAGCTTGAGGCCTTTGGAGTTTGAGCCCGCGGGGATTAGTGTGGGTGATATAGGCGGAGTCGATGTTTGGTGCTATACCTTCTACTGGTGGACCGGGCGTGGAAGAGGGAGTAAATGGAGCGGCGGGGTATTTGGATAGCTGGGAGGAGGCGATCGGTCACGCGCAGCTTGAGAGGCAGCTGCTAGGGGCTTACGAAATTAACTATTTCTACTCGTTGGGGTGTCGGACGTATCCGCGACGGGGTAGGCCGGTCCCCACTATTCTGGACGCCTTCTTGGACGGGTCGCACGAGTGGAGAGCGCTAGTTCAAATCATAGAGGAGATAGTCCTAGGGGATGGTTAGAATCATAGAGGGTGCTGAAGAAGAAGGGGTTCGGATTGAGAAAGTTGATTTAAGCAAAGACCGAGAGTGCTTCAGCGTCCCCTTGGACCACCGCACGGAGCGGTATCTAGCCGGTCGCGAGAGGGGGGTGGAGCTAGAGAGAGGGGTTTTTCTCTGGGCTTGTTTCGCAGTGGGAACTTGGGAGGGGGACAGGTGGTACCGGAACAGACCCCAAAACGGGAAGAGACCCAGGCGAACAGTGATCCGTGCGGAAGGAACAGTCTACTTGAGTAAGGAAGCTTGGGTCGAGTACGTCACTCATTTGGTCCTGGGGTGGTACCATGCGGATCATTGGGAGGCACGGGCAGGTCCGATTTTGAGGCAGATCTTTGGGGCTGAATCCCTTAGGCATAGCCCACCCGTCGCGGTGAGGGTGATCTACGCGCGAGACGAAGAGTATCCCCGTGCCACAGGGTGCGTCAGGGCCATATTCCCATCATTTGTTTTCCGAAGGGTGAGCGGGGAGGAGGAACGATACGATAGGATAGTACGGTCCGTAGTGCGGGAAAAAGGGTGGCAACTCTCCGTTAGGTCACTCCATTGGTACTACACCTATTGCGTGGATAACCCGGTACCGTACGAGAACAAGGCCTGTAGGATTCGTGCTGGGATCTTTAGGGAGTCCACCCGGGACCGCAAGGGAGGAAGGGACTACGGATTCAAAAGGTTCTTCGGAGTGCCGCAAAGGATCTTCTAAATGAATGGTGTTCCATGATGGAAAGCGGGGATGCTTCTTTGATTCCCCACTAGAAGACCGTGAGGCCCTTAGGCTGATCCCTAGCAACAAGGAACTACCGGATTGGGAAAGGGTAGAAGAGGGGAGGTCCATGGTCA